GAGTGGGTGAGTAGCTGAGTGGTTGGGTGAGTGGGGGTGGAGTGGGTGGGTGAGTGAGTGAGTGAGTGATACACAGATCACACGTGAAGGCACGATTACGGCGAGAAGTACTTGACGTTGGCGAGTGCCTTGACGCGTGCGGCGGCGAGCAGCGACTGCGCGGCGATGCGGTGGCTTGAGGGTGATCTCAGGTGGGAGCGTATCCTCAGCACGTCGAGGCGGACGACGGCGATGTGCAGCAGGTAGAGCAAAGAGAGGGACCAGAGGGCTAATAAAGTAATGGAGAATTTCTCTCTTATCGCCCATATGAATTTATCGATGGCATTCAAAAATGTGTTTAACCGCTCACCTTTTAGAAATGCAGATATTTCGTCATAGAGAAAGACGCAATTCGTCTTTGTTTTGTTGGTGATGTCCGTGTAGTTTAGACCATGCTGATAAAATACGGAGATAACTGCCTTGCAGTCAACCATGGAATTGCATCCACAACGGGCAGTGCCGTGTTTTCCAATTCGACATCCATTATTGTTGAGGCAGCCCCTGCAACCTGAGTCGTAGCAAGAAACAGATGTGTATGCATTAGATAACTGTTCGAAGAATGCCTGAATTTTAGGTCCAGCGTAAAGTAACACCGACAAATACTGACTCGCATATTTGGTTGCAAATGTGGAGTACGCAGCATGATTGAGGGGTGTGAAATATTTGCCGCAGTATTCATTTTGGCATCCAACAAAATACGTCAGGTCGGGGTTATTATTCAGATCATGAGACGTGTGAGATGCGCATTTAGACAAATGGCGGCACGAGTCAAGTAACTCTCTTGCAACATTATGATCACAGGCAACTGTTCTCTCGATAGCGCCAGAAATGGCATTTTGAATGGGATGGCGTTTGTGTTCAGCTTCGTCCATCCACTTCCATTCCTTGGTGAGTTGGCAGTAAAACGAAAATATGTCAGGGAACCACTGCGGTGGGCGGTTGAGAAGGCAAGCAAGCGGCGCATAGAGTTTGGTTAGTACTCCTCTTTTACCGACCAATTCTTCTAGCAGTTCGCACAGGTCTCTCCCTGTATGCGTACTGTTCGAGAATGCTCTGAAACCGAGGGGAGGGAGACACGGCATTCCTGGTGGGTTTTTAGAGCACGTGGAACAAGATGACTTGCAACCAATAGAGGTTACATCATGAGGCAAGTGACCATGTAAGCTATCGTTTAAGTATGACATAAGTGGAGACGTTGGTTGGCAGCTTGCTTTGGTGTTTGCCTGGCACTTTGGTTGGCACGTAGCTTTGTCGGTAACATGGTCTTTGCAGGACCATTTGGTTGACTTGATATCTTTGCCGTAGTAGCAGTCACGCCAGCCGCCGTGCTTATCACGTAGGCTACACTGAGTATGTAAGTATGTGAGCACCGGGAACATCCGTCGAAGGATATCAAGCAGCATATCAAGACACTCCGCGCCGGAACTGGGATATTTCAGGCTGAGGGAGTTGGTAGGGAACTCGCACGCATAAAACGTTGCTGCATCGCCATGCCCGACGACGCCAGTCAGCAGTGAGTACGCGTTTGCTGTAACTTCTTTAAGTGCAGAATGTATTTCATCATGTGTAAACTGTTGTGGATGGGCGTTCATAGGCTTCACGATTTTCTGAGAAGGATCTGTCTCACTTGGCACTTCGAACATCGTCTTAATCTGCTGCTTAAGTTTTTCATAAACAGGGTTATGCGGGAGGCCGGACAGCCATAGGGACATGTCATAGATGCTACACGGTGACCTAGGTTTGTCGATGTGATGTAAGTGACGGACGTCGAAGTATTTATGAAGGTGATCAAATAGTTTTGGAGAACACCAACTTCTACCAAGTCGACATTCAGAGTGTCGTCGTCAAGCGGCTGTTTGCTACTCTCAAACAATTCACATGTATCACTATCAAGAAGTGTAAGAATATTATTACCAGTGAAACCTTTTTTGTGATTTAATTCGCCGGCCGCGACGTTTACAGGAAGCTTACTATCGTAACCGTTTTCACGGAAGAATAATTTATGTAAGGCATTAGCAGTGTTCGAGGAATTATAAATGCTATAAGTTGTCCACAGCTCATCGTGTTTCTCAAGCCCTTCCTTGAGCTGTGTTAATGCTTCATATACGGTGGGCGTAAGTGTCAAGGCGATTTTAGCGTACTTTTCTCTCTCAGTGTCATCGATGTTATCCCACCTAATTTTCTGCTGGGAGTATGTGGAGACGTACGCTTTCTGGAGTTCGGAGACAAGGGATGTGAAACCATTCTTTAAAGCGTTGAGTAGCAAAGGGCTCTCTGCTTCGCCATATATTTGAGGACTAAATGTAGTGAATGTTTTTTCGAGTGACTCTACATTATCTCTAAATGTCTGGTTGAAGTGCTGCGAAGTGACGAGTTTGTTAAGCAAATTGAGCAGGGCGTCATTCGGATCTTGCAGACGCCCGGAGTCGGCAGTGAAATCCTCTTGCGATTTCAGGTTGCTGTAGAATGACCTAAATGCAGTGCTCAATTTCATGACGGCCTGACCGAGTGGATACATTTTCCTGCCCTTGGATGTGGTTATTGAGGGGACGTCGGAGACAAGTCTCGAAGTCCTGTAACTTTCTTAACGAAATACTTCTCCAAGTTCGCCATGAATCCTTTGTGGCCTGTCTCCAGGTCCCTTTCAAGCTCAGTCGGTAAATGTTGTAACTCCCCCTGAACCTTCTCGGCGAAGGCTATCAACAGGCTCTGTACAGAGGACACGTAATTCTTCTGGGACTGCGCTGTGATATCGCAGATAGCGGTGTTCACTTGTCCGTCGACGCAAGTGTGAAGAAACGAGATTGCTACACGACATTGTGTGTCGGCTTCTTTGTCGATGAACTTATCTGCCAAGGTGATGACGTCAGTCTGGATGCAGGTATGAAGCTTGCTGAGATCATCATAAATTTTGTTAAGCTCATCGCCAATTTTTTCATTTTTCAGCACTTCCAAATTCCCTACGATTTCGTTGGCAATACGTTTAATGGAGTTGCACAGGTAATTTAGGTTGCTGGTCAGCTGGGGAACAGTGTCCTTTTGCAGCGCCTCAATATCCGTCTTGATCAGCGCGAGGCCTTTGGCGGAATGTTTGTCAATTGTCCAGGTTGATCCACTGCCAAGGCCATCAGTTTTTAATTCGGTTTCCAATTGCTTTTTAAGGCCATCGGGTGGGTTTGTAGCTTTACTAACTGCCTGGATGAGGGTGGTGAATGGCGTTGTTACGCTACGTGTCATGCTATCAAGATGATCGCTCAGTTGGCTCATATCATTAGAAAATGTGTTAACAGTTCGGGCATGCTCTTGTAATTGGGCGTGGATTCGCCGTATGTTTTCCACACCAGTAGTAAGAGATGAATGGGAACGTCGGCCAAATCGCCAACCGCTTTGGTCAACTGACCTAGCAAAACTTTCAGAGCTTGACATATTGCTCTGCAAAGCATTAATAACGTGTCCAGCGTAAGTAGTGAACGTATTGGAGTTAAGACCATTAATCATTCGTGCCTCATTCTTAATCTGTTCATTAAGTGAATCCACGTAATCTCTGACAACAGTTTTTATGGCGTCACAAAAAATGGAAAGGCTCTCAATGTGATTGGCAGTAAAATGACCTTGAGTATGCAAATTAGTACCAAGCTGCGAAAGCTGCAAAATTGTATCCTGCACCTGTAAACTGTCTAGTGTACGTAGTGATGTCTGTAACTGGGAGCCCGATTGATTCTGGACGATGACTTTTTTGGCAGCGTCGGTGAGCTGTTGCGATATGGTGTGCAACTGCTGAACATACTGTGAGGCAACATGTTCTCTACTTTGACCATGTGTAATCTCTCTGCCACTCAACACCCTCAGAATCTGAGCCAAAATGTCGTCCACCAATTTCGTTACCTCACCGCCGAGATTCTCCTGTGAATACGTAGCCTCGTGGGCGATGCTCTTTAGTTCTTCTTGTTTGCATTTAACAAATTGCTCATGAGCAGATTCCTTCAGCCGTTGAACTGCGGTGATGATTGGGGATGTTTTATTTGTGCCGACTTCAGCAAGAATGCTTCTAACATTTTGCAAAGCGGCATCCACAACCTTCCCGGCCGCGGCGTTCCAAGCGCCAAGTTCCTCAACTTTTTTCTTCAGCGTTTCATCAACATTCTTAATCGTATCTTCAAGATTTTTCCTATCCCTATTTGGCTCCGCCGGGTCTTTTACTTCCTTTAATATTTCGTTAACTTTCATCTGCGGATTCTGCTCAATAAACTCTTTTGCTTGTTTCATCCATTTTTGCAGCGCCTTAATGTACTGTCCAAGGCTGTGTTTCACTTCGAGAAGTTTAGTCAAAATTCCTTTAACTTTCTCCTTCAGAAAGTTAACAACACCGTTCACTCTGTCACAAATGTCCTGCTTTACAGTCTCTTTAAGAGCATTTAATGTTTTCGTAATCTTCTCCGTCATATGATGTAAGTCCCTAAACTCCTTAGCCGACGAGACACAGAGCCTATGGTATTCATGGGCAATGTTCTTTGTCGCATTATTCACTCTTAATTTTGCTTCGGGATTCAGGTCATTTATTTCTATTTGTAAATTCTTTGACCTATTTATAAAGTTGCCGGCATTATCAATACACGTTGTCAACCTGTCATGGATTAACTGCGCGGCCTTCTTGACTGCACTATTGTCTCCATCTCCATTACGCAAAATGTTATTTACTTCATTTACAAAACGTCTACCAACATCATCACGCAATTTATTAATAACACTTTTCACAGCGTCATTCGACGCTGCCACTCTCTCATTATATGTACGCACTCCACCGGCCACCGCGGCTATCGCCGCCTTGTATTTAGTAATACCATTAGAATTTGTGTCTTTAAGTGAAGTAAGTGCGCTAGTTAAAGTGTCTTTATGCTGGCCTAAATGACCATGAATGTTATCTAAAACTCCATGAAGGAAAGACATCACCCCGTCGCACAGCCTGTCAAGGTCCGAGTACACAATGCCCTCGCCAGTGTAATTACCATTACTGAAGCCGAGAAATTTTTCGAGGCCTGTGCAGAGGTTATTTAAAAGGTTTTTACAATTGTTATCATTTTTACTAAGAGAATTCAAAGACTCATTAAGGCTCTTCAGCCTCTGAAGAGACTGCAACTTGGACTGATGAGAGGATAAAAGGCGAGAATCTTCAGAGGAGAGGGGAGGATTTTTGTCAGTTTTCTTAGATTCAAGGGATGTTTTAAGGTTATTATAATGCTCAATTTTCTCATCAAGCATCTTTTCATTTATAAGCTCAGCAGACACGGCAGTGGAAGGCTGCGCAGGCGGAGACGGAGACTTTTTAAGGCTTTTGAAGTCTTCATTACTGTTAATAATAGCGTCAATACAATCTTTAATTGCTGTAGTAACAGCCTTTTCAGGGCCAATAAATTGGCCAAGCTTGCCACTGAGCTCAGCAAGAGACACCATCCTGGAGCGGATGTCCTTCAACGCACTGTCCCTTTTGGACGTATTGTTGTGCACTTCACTTTGATGATTGCTTAAGTCAGATTGAAGTTTATTAAGCTTATTTTCATTAGGGTTGTTAGAATTTTTAAGAGTGTTAATTTTGTTGGTCATGTAGTCACAGTAGCTAAGAGACTGACCAGAGGCCGACGAAGGAGGCCAAGAAGGGAGGTCAAAAGAGGTGAGAGAAGAAAGTGGAAAAGAAGTTAAAAGGCCATTAGAAGAGGTGAAATGGGACACTTTTGGACAATTTTAGAATTTTTTGAGAAAGGCGATTTTAGGTCAAGGAGGGAGCGAGGGGGTGAGGGAGGTGGGTGGACAAAGCGAGGGAAGTGAAGGGCCAAAGAGGGCGACGAAGGGGGAAGATGGGTTGAGGTAAGGCGATTTAGGAGGTGGAGGGGGAAGGTGGAAAATGAGGATTTGGGTGAAGGACGCCGACGGAGGAGGTTAGGGAGGAGGGTGAGGCAGGGAGCGAAGCGACCAGTGAAAGAGGGAGGTGAGTGGGTGGGTGAGTGGTTGACTGGGTGGTTGAGTGGTTGAGTGGGTGAGAGGGTGAGTGGTTGAGTGGGTGAGTGGTTGAGTGGTTGAGTGGTTGAGTTAGTGGTTGGGTGAGTGGTTGAGTTGGTGGGTGGGTGAGTGGGTGAGTGGGTGGGTGGGTGGTTGAGTGAGTGGGTGAGTGGGTGATTAGGTGGTTGAGTGGGTGGGTGAGTGGTTGAGTGGGTGAGTGAGTGTTTAGGTGGTTGAGTGGGTGAGTGGGTGGGTGAGTGGGTGAGTGAGTGGGTGGTTGAGTGTGTGAGTGAGTGTGTGAGTGAGTGGGTGGTTGAGTGTTTAGGTGGTTGAGTGGTTGAGTGGATGAGTGGGTGGGTGGTGAGTGGTTGAGTGGGTGAGTGAGTGAGTGAGTGGGTGGGTGAGTGGGTGAGTGGGTGAGTGAGTGGTTGAGTGAGTGAGTGGGTGAGTGAGTGATACACAGATTACACGTGAAGGCACGATTATGGTGAGAAGTACTTGACGTTGGCGAGTGCCTTGACGCGTGCGGCGGCGAGGAGTGACTGTGCGGCGATGCGGTGGCTTGAGGGTGATCTCAGGTGGGAGCGTATCCTCAGGACGTCGAGGCGGACGACGGCGATGTGCAGCAGGTACAGGAGCGACAGCGACCAGAGGGCTAATAAGAGGAAAGTGAAGAAGTTTAGAAATGTTGAAGGATTATTTTAGGCAATTTTCAGGGCGATTTGGGGGAATTTGGAGAAAGGCGATTTTAGGTGAAGGAGGCAGTGAGGGAGGTGGGTGGACAGGGCGGGGGAGGTGAAGGGGCGAAAGAGGGCGATGAAGGGCGAAGATGGGTGGATGAGAGGCGGTTTTGGAGGTGGAGGGGGAAGGTGGAAAATGAGGATTTGGGTGAAGGACGCCGACGGAGGAGGTGATGGAGGAGGAGGCAGGGAGCGAAGCGACCAGTGAAAAGGGAGGTGAGTGAGTATGTGAGTGGGTGGGTGAGTGGTTGAGTGAGTGAGTGGTTGAGTGAGTTGGTGAGTGGGTGGTTGAGTGGTTGAGTGAGTGGGTGGGTGATACACAGATGACACGTGAAGGCACGATTATGGTGAGAAGTACTTGACGTTGACGAGAGCCTTGACGCGTGCGGCGGCGAGCAGCGACTGCGCGGCGATGCGGTGGCTTGAGGGTGATCTCAGGTGGGAGCGTATCCTCAGGACGTCGAGGCGGACGACGGCGATGTGCAGCAGGTACAGGAGCGACAGCGACCAGAGGGCTAGTAAGAGGAAAGTGAAGAAGTTGAGAAATGTTGAAGGATTATTTTAGGCACATTTTCAGGGCGATTTGGGGGAATTTGGGGAAAGGCGATTTTAGGTGGAGGAGGCAGCGAGGCAGCGAGGGAGGTGGGTGGACAGGGTGAGGGAGGTGAAGGGGCGAAAGAGGGCGATGGAGGGGGAGGATGGGTTGAGGTAAGGCGATTTCGGAGGTCAAAGGAATTTTTTGGATATTAAGAATTTTAGGTGAAGGACGCCGACGGAGGAGGTGAGTGGAGGGGGTGATGGAGGAGGGAGCGAAGCGACCAGTGAAGGAGGTGGTTGAGTGGTTGAGTGGGTGGGTGGTTGAGTGAGTAGGTGGTTGAGTGATTAGGTGGGTGAGTGGGTGAGTGTGTGAGTGGTTGAGTGGTTGAGTGGGTGAGTGGTTGAGTGGTTGGGTGAGTGGTTGGGTGGGTGATTAGGTGGGTGAGTGGTTGAGTGGGTGGGTGAGTGGGTGGGTGGTTGAGTGGTTGAATGGTTGAGTGGGTGAGTAGGTGGGTGAGTGGTTGAGTGGGTGGTTGAGTGGTTGAGTGGTTGAGTGGGTGGTTGAGTGGTTGAGTGGTTGAGTGATTAGGTGGGTGGTTGAGTGGGTGGTTGAGTGGTTGAGTGGTTGAGTGGGTGGTTGAGTGGGTGGGTGAGTGGGTGAGTGATTAGGTGAGTGAGTGGGTGAGTGGGTGGGTGGTTGAGTGGTTGAGTGGGTGGTTGAGTGGTTGAGTGGTTGGGTGGTTGAGTGAGTGGGTGGGTGAGTGAGTTGTAGGTGAGTGGGTGAGTGAGTGGGTGAGTGGTTGAGTGGGTGGGTGAGTGAGTGAGTGAGTGGGTGAGTGGGTGGGTGGGTGTTTGAGTGGGTGAGTGAGTGGGTGGTGGTTGAGTGGTTGAGTGGGTGAGTGGTTGAGTGGGTGAGTGGGTGAGTGGGTGAGTGGTTGAGTGGTTGAGTGGGTGGTTGAGTGGTTGAGTGGTTGAGTGGTTGAGTGATTAGGTGGGTGAGTAGGTGGTGAGTGGGTGAGTGGTTGAGTGGTTGAGTGAGTGGGTGGGTGAGTGGGTGAGTGGTTGAGTGGTTGAGTGGGTGGTTGAGTGAGTGGGTGGTTGAGTGGGTGAGTGAGTTGGTGGGTGAGTGGTTGAGTGGGTGATTAGGTGAGTGGGTGAGTGGGTGGGTGGTTGAGTGGTTGAGTGGGTGGTTGAGTGGGTGGGTGAGTGGTTGAGTGGGTGAGTGAGTGGTTGAGTGGTTGAGTGGTTGAGTGGGTGAGTGGTTGAGTGGGTGAGTGGGTGAGTGGGTGAGTGAGTGGTTGAGTGGTTGAGTGAGTGAGTGAGTATGTGAGTGGGTGAGTAGGTGGGTGGGTGGTTGAGTGAGTGGTTGAGTGGTTGAGTGGTTGAGTGGTTGAGTGGTTGAGTGGTTGAGTGAGTGGTTGAGTGGTTGAGTGAGTGAGTGAGTATGTGAGTGGGTGAGTAGGTGGGTGGGTGGGTGAGTGAGTGAGTGGTTGAGTGGGTGAGTGAGTTGGTGGGTGAGTAGGCGAGTGGGTGGGTGAGTATGTGGTTGAGTGGTTGAGTGGGTGAGTGGGTGGTTGAGTGGGTGAGTGAGTGGTTGAGTGGTTGAGTGAGTGGGTGGGTGAGTGAGTTGTAGGTGAGTGGGTGGGTGAGTGGGTGAGTGGGTGGGTGGTTGAGTGGTTGAGTGGGTGGTTGAGTGGTTGAGTGGTTGAGTGGTTGAGTGGGTGGTTGAGTGAGTGGGTGGTTGAGTGGGTGAGTGAGTTGGTGGGTGAGTAGGCGAGTGGGTGGGTGAGTATGTGGTTGAGTGGTTGAGTGGGTGAGTGGGTGGTTGAGTGGGTGAGTGAGTTGGTGGGTGAGTAGGCGAGTGGGTGGGTGAGTATGTGGTTGAGTGGTTGAGTGGTTGAGTGGGTGGTTGAGTGGTTGAGTGGTTGAGTGGGTGAGTAGGTGGTGAGTGGGTGAGTGGTTGAGTGGTTGAGTGGTTGAGTGAGTGGGTGGGTGAGTGGGTGAGTGGGTGGGTGGTTGAGTGGTTGAGTGATTAGGTGGGTGGTTGAGTGGGTGGTTGAGTGGTTGTGTGGTTGTTTGGTTGAGTGGTTGAGTGGGTGAGTATGTGAGTGGGTGAGTGAGTGAGTGGGTGGTTGAGTGGTTGAGTGGGTGGGTGGGTGAGTGGTTGAGTGGGTGATTAGGTGAGTGGGTGAGTGGGTGGGTGGTTGAGTGGTTGAGTGGGTGGTTGAGTGGGTGGGTGAGTGGGTGAGTGATTAGGTGAGTGGTTGAGTGAGTGGGTGGGTGGTTGAGTGGGTGAGTGGGTGAGTGATTTGTGAGTGGTTGAGTGAGTGGGTGGTGGGTGAGTGGGTGAGTGGTTGAGTGAGTTGAGTTGGTGAGTGAGTGAGTGGTTGGTGAAGGTGGGTGGGTGAGTGGGTGGGTGTGGGTGAGTGATTTAGGTGAGTAGTGGTTGAGTGGTTGAGTGGTTGTTTGGTTGAGTGGGTTGAGTGGTGAGTATTGTTGAGTGGGTGAGTGAGTGAGTGGGTGGTTGAGTGGTTGAGTGGTGGTGGGTGAGTGGGTGAGTGGTTGAGTGGTGGTGTTGAGTGAGTGGTTGAGTGGTTGAGTGGTTGAGTGGTTGAGTGGTTGAGTGGTTGAGTGGTTGAGTGGTTGAGTGAGTGAGTGAGTATGAGTGGTGAGTAGGTGTGGTGGGTGAGTTGAGTGAGTGGTTGAGTGGTTGAGTGGTTGAGTGGTTGAGTGGGTGGTTGAGTGGGTGGGTGAGTGAGTTGAGTGAGTGGGTGGTTGAGTGGGTTTGAGTGGGTGGGTGGTGAGTGGGTGTGGTGTGAGTGTGGTGGTTGAGTGGGTGGGTGGTTGAGTGGTTGAGTGGTTGATGTTGAGTGTTGAGTGGTTGAGTGAGTGGTTGAGTGGTTGAGTGAGTGAGTGAGTATGTGAGTGGGTGAGTAGGTGGGTGGGTGGGTGAGTGAGTGAGTGGTTGAGTGGTTGAGTGGTTGAGTGAAGTGGTTGAGTGGGTTGGTTTGAGTGGGTGGGTGAGTGGGTGTTGAGTGGGTGGTTGAGTGGTTGAGTGGTAGTGGTTGAGTGGGTGGTTGAGTGGTTGAGTGGGTTGGGTGGTTGAGTGGTTGAGTGGTGGTTGAGTGTTGAGTGGTTGAGTGGTTGGAGTGGGTGGTTGAGTGGGTGGGTGGTGGGTGGTTGAGTGGGTGGTTGAGTGGTTGAGTGTTGGTGGTGAGTGGGTGGTTGAGTGGTTGAGTGGGTGAGTGGTTGAGTGGGTGGGTGGTTGAGTGAGTGGGTGGTTGGGTGGTTGAGTGGTTGAGTGGGTGGTTGAGTGGGTGGGTGAGTGGTTGAGTGGGTGATTAGGTGAGTGGGTGAGTGGGTGGTGGTTGAGTGTTGAGTGGGTGGTTGAGTGGTTGTGGTTGAGTGGTTGATGGGTGGTTGAGTGGGTGGTGGTTGGGGGTTGGTTGAGTGGTTGAGTGAGTGGTTGAGTGGGGTGGGTGAGTGGGTGATTAGGTGAGTGAGTGAGTATGTGAGTGGTTGAGTGTTGGTGGTTGAGTGGTTGAGTGTTGAGTGTTGAGTGGTGGTTGAGTGGGTGGTGAGTGGTTGAGTGGGTGATTAGGTGAGTGGGTGAGTGGGTGGGTGGTTGAGTGGTTGAGTGAGTGGTTGAGTGGGTGGGTGAGTGGGTGATTAGGTGAGTGAGTGAGTATGTGAGTGGTTGAGTGGTTGAGTGGTTGAGTGGTTGAGTGGTTGAGTGGTTGAGTGGGTGGTTGAGTGGGTGGGTGAGTGGTTGAGTGGGTGATTAGGTGAGTGGGTGAGTGGGTGGGTGGTTGAGTGGTTGAGTGGGTGGTTGAGTGGTTGAGTGGTTGAGTGGTTGAGTGGGTGGTTGAGTGGTTGAGTGGTTGAGTGGTTGAGTGGGTGGTTGAGTGGGTGGGTGAGTGGGTGGTTGAGTGGGTGGTTGAGTGGTTGAGTGGTTGAGTGGTTGAGTGGGTGGTTGAGTGGTTGAGTGGTTGAGTGGTTGAGTGGTTGAGTGGTTGAGTGGGTGGTTGAGTGGGTGGGTGAGTGGTTGAGTGGGTGATTAGGTGAGTGGGTGAGTGGGTGGGTGGTTGAGTGGTTGAGTGGGTGGTTGAGTGGTTGAGTGGTTGAGTGGTTGAGTGGGTGGTTGAGTGGTTGAGTGGTTGAGTGGTTGAGTGGGTGGTTGAGTGGGTGGGTGAGTGGGTGGTTGAGTGGGTGGTTGAGTGGTTGAGTGGTTGAGTGGGTGGTTGAGTGGGTGGGTGAGTGGGTGAGTGATTAGGTGAGTGGTTGAGTGGTTGTGTGGTTGTTTGGTTGAGTGGTTGAGTGGGTGAGTATGTGAGTGGGTGAGTGAGTGAGTGGGTGGTTGAGTGGTTGAGTGGGTGGGTGGGTGAGTGGGTGAGTGGTTGAGTGGGTGGGTGGTTGAGTGAGTGGGTGGTTGGGTGGTTGAGTGGTTGAGTGAGTGGTTGAGTGGGTGGGTGAGTGGGTGATTAGGTGAGTGAGTGAGTATGTGAGTGGTTGAGTGGTTGAGTGGTTGAGTGGTTGAGTGGTTGAGTGGTTGAGTGGGTGGTTGAGTGGGTGGGTGAGTGGTTGAGTGGGTGATTAGGTGAGTGGGTGAGTGGGTGGGTGGTTGAGTGGTTGAGTGGGTGGTTGAGTGGTTGAGTGGTTGAGTGGTTGAGTGGGTGGTTGAGTGGTTGAGTGGTTGAGTGGTTGAGTGGGTGGTTGAGTGGGTGGTTGAGTGGGTGGTTGAGTGGGTGGTTGAGTGGTTGAGTGGTTGAGTGGTTGAGTGGGTGGTTGAGTGGTTGAGTGGTTGAGTGGTTGAGTGGTTGAGTGGTTGAGTGGGTGGTTGAGTGGTTGAGTGGTTGAGTGGTTGAGTGGGTGGTTGAGTGGGTGGGTGAGTGGTTGAGTGGGTGATTAGGTGAGTGGGTGAGTGGGTGGGTGGTTGAGTGGTTGAGTGGGTGGTTGAGTGGTTGAGTGGTTGAGTGGTTGAGTGGGTGGTTGAGTGGTTGAGTGGTTGAGTGGTTGAGTGGGTGGTTGAGTGGGTGGGTGAGTGGGTGGTTGAGTGGGTGGTTGAGTGGTTGAGTGGTTGAGTGGTTGAGTGGGTGGTTGAGTGGTTGAGTGGTTGAGTGGTTGAGTGGGTGGTTGAGTGGGTGGGTGAGTGGTTGAGTGAGTGGGTGGTTGAGTGGTTGAGTGGGTGGGTGGGTGAGTGGGTGAGTGGTTGAGTGGGTGGGTGGTTGAGTGGGTGGGTGGTTGAGTGGTTGAGTGGTTGAGTGGTTGAGTGGTTGAGTGGTTGAGTGAGTGGTTGAGTGGTTGAGTGAGTGAGTGAGTATGTGAGTGGGTGAGTAGGTGGGTGGGTGGGTGAGTGAGTGAGTGGTTGAGTGGTTGGGTGGTTGAGTGAGTGGTTGAGTGGGTGAAGGCACGATTATGGTGAGAAGTACTTGACGTTGGCGAGTGCCTTGACGCGTGCGGCGGCGAGGAGGGACTGCGCGGCGATGCGGTGGCTTGAGGGTGATCTCAGGTGGGAGCGTATCCTCAGGACGTCGAGGCGGACGACGGCGATGTGCAGCAGGTAGAGGAGCGACAGCGACCAGAGGGCTAACAAGAGGAAAGTGAAGAAGTTGAGAAATGTTGAAGGATTATTTTAGGCACATTTTCAGGGTGATTTAGGGTAATTTGGAGAAACGCGATTTTAGGTCAAGGAGGCAGCGAGGCAGCGAGGGAGGTGGGTGGACAAGGCGATGGAGGTGAAGGGGCGAAAGAGGGCGATGGAGGAGGAATATGGGTGGAGGTAAGGCGGTTTTGGGGGTGGAGGGAGAAGGTGGAAATTAAGTATTTTGGGTGAAGGACGCCGACGGAGGAGGTGAGGGAGGGGTGATGGGAGAGGGAGCGACAGCGACCAGTGAAGAAGGGAGGTGAGTGGGTGGTTGATTAGGTGATTAGGTGGTTGAGTGGTTGAGTGGTTGATTAGGTGAGTGGTTGAGTGGGTGAGTGAGTGAGTGAGTGGTTAGGTGGTTGAGTGGGTGATTAGGTGAGTGGGTGTTTGAGTGGGTGTTTGAGTGGGTGGGTGAGTAGGTGGGTGAGTAGGTGGGTGAGTGAGTGGTTGAGTGGTTGAGTGGTTGAGTGAGTGGGTGGGTGAGTGAGTGGGTGGTTGAGTGGTTGGGTGGTTGAGTGGTTGAGTGAGTGGTTGAGTGAGTGATTGAGTGGATGAGTGAGTGAGTGGGTGAGTGATTAGGTGGTTGAGTGAGTGGGTGAGTGAGTGGGTGGTGGGTGGGTGAGTGGTTGAGTGAGTGGGTGGTTGAGTGGGTGGTTGAGTGGGTGGGTGAGTGGTTGAGTGGTTGAGTGGTTTAGTGGGTGAGTGGGTGAGTGAGTGAGTGGGTGATTAGGTGAGTGGGTGGGTGGTTGAGTGGGTGAGTAGTTGAGTGGTTGAGTGAGTGGGTGGGTGGTTGAGTTGGTGAGTGGGTGATACACAGATCACACGTGAAGGCACGATTATGGCGAGAAGTACTTGACGTTGGCGAGTGCCCTGACGCGTGCGGCGGCGAGGAGGGACTGCGCGGCGATGCGGTGGCTTGAGGGTGATTTTAGGTGGGACCGGATCCTCAGGACGTCGAGGCGGACGACGGCGATGTGCAGCAGGTACAGGAGCGAGAGCGACCAGAGGGCGAGGAGGGTGTAAGAGAAATTCTCTCTTATCTTCCAAATGAATTCATCGATTTGCTTGATTAGTTGAATAAGTGCGGATTCCTCCTCTAGGATCTTCTTCAACGCACTGCAGAAATCCTTGCACGTTCTTCTAGCTTCCAATGCGTCACCTGTGCCGCATAATCCCAATGGTTTCCCAAAACTGAAGCCGTACATATATAGCGTGGGAAGTGTGTTTTGGCATTTGACTATGGACGTGCAATTTTCAGTGTGATTTTTGCCGTCAAGTGACTTGCTCGCTGCTTCTGCATCTTCAGAGTTTTGAGCTTCATATGCCTTTTTCACGTCGCAATCCTTGTCACATCTCGTGCCATGACATTTGGCTCCCGGAGACGTGCACGTACCACAGCACTGCTTATATAATTTGTCCAGCAAACTATAGAAGGTCTCAGCCGAGTACAGGAACCATGACAGGTATTGTTTTTTATTGTACGACGAGAAAATGCTATATGTGCTGGATGAGAGTGACTCCAAATAGACACCACATGTATCTACTGCTCTATCTTCGCATTCGGATATGGTGAACAGATCACCTTCGGAATGGTTTGACTTGTTCCCCGATTGATGTACACGGGTGGTGAACAAAATAGTCGGAGTCAAGTCCGAATATTCCTGGCCGAAATAAGCATCCTTAATGGCCTTACTAAAGGCTAAACATTTATGCTCTCTACCATGGTCAATCCAGTTTGCCAGATAGCCACGGAGGAAACCGAAAATATCATCAAGCGTCTGAGGTGCTCGGCGGAGTACGCAGTTCAGCATGTTACACAACCTAGTGAGGGCAGAATACGGACCACAAAAATCAAAAAGCACACGCTCAAGATATGCACCTGTTTTAGTATGCGAAGCAACGACACCGATATCGGCAAAGCCCATTGGCGTCTTGCAGGGAAGTCCTCTATGATTGGATACCGTACACGTTAACTTGCAGCCGGGACTGCTAAATGAATGTGGCAAGAACCCTTGCAATCCGTCCTCTAAGAAAGACTGCAAAGGGGATTTCATACCACAATCGGGGTGTTGGTCACAGCGTTGGTCAGCGCTTTGGTCAGCACCTAGGTTGCCATTTTGGTTACCCTTTTGGGTAGCACCTTGGTTAGGTCTCAGGTTACACTCTTGGTTGGCACACTGTTCTGTGTTGCACAGCCAACTGGAGCCAGACACGTACCTGCCGTACGAGCAATCACTCCACCCGCTGTGACTTTTGCCACCGAGGCACTGCTTACGTAGGAACCACAGTTGCTGATACAGTCTAAATAACACATCTACTAGCATGTCTAAGCACGCACCACCGCTACCAGGATACAATAAATTACTTGAGTTAGTGAGGTGATCAGAGGCATACACACCGTCTGCGTGGCCGTGGCCGAGCACGGCGACTAATGTTTTTTCGGAGTATATGCAGACGTTATCAAGTGCTTTAGTTAATTGGGCAGAGTCTATAGGTGACGTAATTAAGTTATGCATATCGGTTTGCACGGCGACTGGTAATGCTTCAGTGTCTAACTTATGCTCCTTTTGTAGGCCCTTAAGCACATTGCCAAGCTGGCTCTTGACTTCACTGTACATGTGGTTGTACTTAAGCCCGGCAGTCCATTGGAGCATGAGATAAATGTTGGACGGGGCTCTGGGCTTTGGAGGGATGTTGTAGTGGCAGACACGGTTGTACCTTTCGAGTATAGGGTAAAGCAGTGAAAGAATGTGGAGGACATTGATACCGGTGTTTTTCAAGCCTTTAATTTTGATGTTCATTTGCGCAGCGTTGGTAAGTGGCTTGTTGAGAAGATCACTATTAATTTGTCCACCCTTCATGTCCCTCCTCAAGTGACCATTCTGAATTTTGTCATTATCGGACACATTGTAGCCGCGGGAGTGGAACCAGAGGGCCATCTTATTCTTTTCTGTGGGCGTATTAATTTCCAATTTACTCCACTCACCGCTGCAGTTTCTCTGCAGATTGTACATGTGTGTCACCCAACCAGGGAGACAGGTCATGAAAACCTTAGACAGCTTCTTGCCGTAGTCCGTCAATTTGCGTTTGTCGTCTGGCGTAGTGAGATCCAAAATCTCAGGATCAAGCAACGCACCGTCAAACTTCTTACAACAGTACGTGCTCGCATATGCGTAGCCGAGTTGCTTGGCCAGGGCGTCGATTCCGTCCTTGAGCGCTTGCAGGATGGGACTGGAGGAGTCTGTGAAATTGGCGGGGGAGAATTTCTCGGCAACGTCGGCCACTTTTTTGATCAAATCGGAGACTTCATGGCTGAAATGGTTTTCTTTTATCATTTTCTGGAGTAATTCAGTTAACGCTGTGTTAACCTTTGAAGCGTTGTCCTTGGATGGATGGTTGGTAAGTTGACCAATGATGTAAGACCAGAGTCCTTCGTAGAATTGCTTGAATATTGGAGTACCGAGATTTAAATCCTTTTGGTCCTTAATTGGTCCGAGAATTTGATGCGTTGTACGTATTTTGTCCAATAGGCCTTTGACGCCGTTCGCCAAGTCTTTTGTGATTATGCCTTCGATGGCTGTTTTTTGTGCGTCGACTAGGGATCTTAGGGCGGTTAGGTCGGCTGTTCTGGAGTGGGAGAAGAGAAGTCTGACTTGGACGGTGATCTCTTCGAAGGCATCTTCGACGTGTTTTATGAGTTCTCTTTTGGATTTGTCAATGGTTCTGGTCATCATGTCCTGTGCTGAGAAGACAACATCACTTACCGATTGTATGGACCTTTCCAGAACATTATCAGCATCCGTTAGAATGCTGTGAATGATGTCAATTTCTCTTTTAATTTGTTGAAAGTTGTGTTTCAATTCAGCCATGAGTTTTTCTACATCCTTCTTCTTTTTCTCCACCTCACCCGGCACAGCTTGCAGTGTCTCAACTTTGAGTGTAACGGTTTTGATGGCCTGTTGAATTGTGCTGGTCATTTCGGTTAGGCTCTTGGTTGACTCGTCAGTGAACTCTCTGGTTTTAAGATCTTCAATGTTTTTGTGAAGACCTCCAATACTCTCAGTACCTATCGGATCTGCACTTCCAATTTTCTTCTTCAGCTCCTGCAACTTGTCGAGAACACCTTTATTAGTGTCTACATCTCCGGCACCAGGATTTGACAGCAGGGGTTCGAGTGCGCCGGTGAAGTCATCCACGGCCCGAGTAATGTCTTTATGTAGACGTTCAATTTCATTGCCCAAATCGGTGACACCTGTCATCATTCCCGTCCTGCGGTAGCGTTGAGGGTCAGTAATATCTTCAATCTTCTTAAAGATCTCCTCCATCTGCCGTTGAAGCTTCAGTTGGCCACTGCCACTATCTCCGGTGCCAGGCTCTCCTTTATAATGCGTCATAAGATCTTCAACATTACCATACCGTCTGTGAGCCTCTTTGAATGGCGCTCCAACTTTGCCGATAATATCCTTGCACAGAGGTATATATGTATCATGGGACGCGAATTTGGCGCCAGTTTGATCCAATTTACCAAATTGCCTGAGGGCATGTAAAGCACCTTCTAACGCTTGCCGGGTGCCGATATCGGTAATCGCTTTTACCTTTTTTCCCAATTCACCTACCAATTCGCCAGTATTTTGCAAATGCTCCAATCCAGGGGTCTTAATAGTAGTCCCGATGTACATATTGGCAGTGCTAGCTTTCTTAGCGGCCTCAAACACGTTGTTAACTATACTTACAATATAGGAACGTATCGCGGAGTTGATCTGTTGCTTCAAGGCACTTAAATCCTCTCTCACCAGACCATCCAAGGTTTTAAGTGTTCTCAGCGCGTCATTAGTTGCAGCTCCAACCGCTTGCCTAGCGGTGTCATAGGTGTTCTTAAGCCACTCTGTTTTTGACTTCAAAAGTTTTGCTGCTTTCTTAATTTCCGTCGGATGCTGGGTGTGCTTTTCATCTGGCTGGTCTTGAACCATTTCCAACGCCTTCAAAGCCTGAGCAGCAGCTTCACCACGCAACGCTTCCGCACTCTGAATTTTTACTTGCAAATTCCCAACATACTTCTGCAACTCGTTTCCAACAGCTATAAGGTTGCTCTTAATTTGCTCAACATCGTCATGAAGCTGCGAATGCTGGCTACCAGGATTTTTCTTAGACGGGTCAACAGTCTGCAACAACGTTCTGATAGCTTCAAAATGTTCCGAAATCCTATGATTATAAGTCTTGTCATAATTCTTAACAACATGACCAACCGCATCATTAAGGTAGTCGACAAGGTCTTTTATGCGCGCAAATTGCTCAGATCGTGCGCCTTGCAGGTCATTAATTTTCTCGAATACATTTGCAAACCGCTCATATAAAAGCTCTAATAAGCCTTCACAATATCCTGTGATCTGGTCTGTAACTTTCTTCTGCTGCTCCGTGAGCCTATCATCCACAGCCTGGCACGCAGCCCTAACCTCATCGCCAGCTGAGTTCTGCAAGTGCTCGATGACGCTAGTTATCGGTTCTATTTTGTGAGTTATTTGTGATTGTAATGTGTTGTCTAAAGCTTTAATTTGCGTGTTTCTAATGCCGTCAACCACATTTTTGAGGCTTACTAATGTGGACTTCCAGTGCTCCAATTGCTCTTGAAGTTTGTGCTCCTCTTGATCCTTGACATTCTTGTAATACTCATTATCATTTTCACCTGCACCAGATGAATTTACACTACTCAACTTACCTATAAGTGCAGATAATCCTCCAGTCACTGCTCCAGTCTTCTCCTCCACTCTCTTATTATACTCCCCCAACCACCTCATCACCTCGCCGACAGACTGCGAAAGGCCAACACGCCCGGAGCCAATATTTTTAGTAAGTGTGTTAAGTACAGTAGACAATTTATCTACTTGAATATAACCATCATATTTCTTTACACTCTCATCATCCTTCACACTCTCAAGAACACCACGAAGGAAAGACATCACCCCGTCGCACAGCCTGTCGAGGTCGGAGTACACGATGCCGGAGCCGTCGTAGCCTTTGGAAGTTTCTTGGTAACCAAGGAACTTCTCCAAGCCGGAGCACAAATTTGTTAAAAGGTTTTTACATTTTCCATTTTTATCGCTGTCAACACTCTGATGAAATGTAATAAGCTTATCAAGACTTTGAAGAGACTCCAACGAAGCCTTATGAGACTTCAATTTAGCCTGCTCAGTTTCAAGCTGACTAGAAAGATGGGAGGGAATGGAGACATATTTTTTTGCTTCTTCCTCCTTATATCCCTTATTTTGAAGGTCTTCAATTTGCTTTTGACGCTCTGCTTCAATTTGCTTTTCAAGCTCAGCAACACTCTTTTGAAGCGTGGAAATCTCAGACAAAATTTTGTCTTTTGGCTCACTTAAAGCATCATTAAGCTTTGTAATTTGCTCTTCAAGAAGCTTTTTTTGCTTTAAAAGATTCTCTTCATTTTGCCTAATTTGCTCATCAAGCTTCTGAATCTCAGACTGACCGTCGGACGGCGTCCCTCCGGACGCCTTACTTTTATCATCTTTTTGCTTTTTAAGGCTATTAATTTTTGTTGCAATTTCATCATATTTTTCAAATTTCTCTTGAAGACTTTTAAGATGTTCAACACGGAAATCCTTAATATTACAACACCCCTCTCCTCCGCAAGATGCATTTAAAAGCTTTTCAAGCTGACTTACGTTACTGTGCAAACCATATAAAATTGCTTTTTTGACTTCCTCACCACCGCCAATAAAACCCGAAAGTTGTCCAGCAAGCTTACCAAGAGAGATACGGCGGGCATCAATGTCCTCCAAAGCCTTCCCCCGGGCATCCTCAGTAAGGTAATGAACGCCATTATAATGGTTATTGTAGTTGGATTAAAGGTGGATTAAGGGAGGGTTAAAGGAAAATTAAAGGAGATGAAATGGCACATTTTCAGGGCGATTTGGGGGAATTTGGGGAAAGGCGATTTTAGGTCAAGGAGGCAGCGAGGGAGTGAGGGAGGTGGGTGGACAGGACGAGGGAGGTGAAGGGGCGAAAGAGGGCGACGAAGGAGGAAGATGGGTGGAGGTAAGGCGGTTTTAAGGGGTGGAGGGGAAAAGTGGAAAATGAGGATTTGGGCGAAGGACGCCGACGGAGGAGGTGATGGAAGAGGGAGGCAGGGAGCGAAGCGACCAGTGAAAGATAAGGTGAGTATGTGAGTGAGTGAGTATGTGAGTGGGTGAGTGGGTGAGTGAGTGAGTGGTTGTGTGGTTGAGTGGGTGAGTGGGTGGGTGAGTGAGTGAGTGGTTGAGTGGGTGAGTGGTTGAGTGTTTAGGTGGTTGAGTGAGTGGGTGAGTGGGTGAGTGAGTGGGTGGGTGAGTGGGTGAGTGGGTGGGTGGTTGAGGGGGTGAGTGGTTGAGTGGGTGGGTGAGTGGGTGGGTGGTTGAGTGGTTGAATGGTTGAGTGGGTGAGTAGGTGGGTGAGTGGGTGAGTGGTTGAGTGGTTGAGTGGTTGAGTGGGTGGTTGAGTGGTTGAGTGGGTGGTTGAGTGGTTGGGTGAGTGGTTGGGTGGGTGGTTGAGTGAGTGGTTGAGTGGGTGGTTGAGTAGTTGAGTGGTTGAGTGGTTGAGTGGGTGGTTGAGTGGGTGAGTTGGTGAGTGAGTGAGTGGGTGAGTGAGTGGTTGAGTGGGTGGTTGAGTGGGTGAGTTGGTGAGTGAGTGAGTGGGTGAGTGAGTGAGTTGGTGGGTGAGTGAGTGGTTGAGTGGGTGGTTGAGTGGGTGGTTGAGTGGGTGGTTGAGTGGTTGAGTGGGTGGTTGAGTGGGTGGTTGAGTGAGGTGAGTGGGTGAGTGGTTGAGTGGTTGAGTGGTTGAGTGGGTGAGTGGTTGAGTGAGTGGGTGAGTGGGTGATACACAGATCACAGGTGAAGGCACGATTACGGTGAGAAGTACTTGACGTTGGCGAGTGCCTTGACGCGTGCGGCGGCGAGGAGGGACTGCGCGGCGATGCGGTGGCTTGAGGGCGATCTCAGGTGGGAGCGTATCCTCAGGACGTCGAGGCGGACGACGGCGATGTGCAGCAGGTAAAGCAAGGAGAGGGACCAGAGGGCTAATAGCGTCCATATAAAATTCTTCCTGACACAGAACATGAAATCGTCAATTGCCTCGAGGAAATTCTTTAATAACTTTGATTTCAATATACTCTCAATTGCCTTAATAAGGATGTGGCATTTCTTCGTCCCTTTGTAAACGGCGTCTGCATACATGAAACCACACTTATAGAATGCAGACATTACGCCTTTGCAATGTTTGATTGATCTGCATTCACATGTTTCAGCGCCATGCTTGCCTACTTTGCAGCCATCGCTGCTGACACAGGACGAACAACCAGAGTTGTAACATGATATGTCGCAAAACACTTTCTTAAATTCCTCAAGGAACTTTTGAAGCTGAGGGCAACTATATACCAAATACGACAAGTACTTGTCGGCGTACTTCGGGGCCAGGGTGGAGTAACCGGCGTAATTTAACGGCTGCATAAAACCGCCGCAACTATTTTCATTGCAGCCAGTTAGATATTTCAAGTCCACTCCCGCATCAATGGTATGAGCGTGAGGTGTCGAAGATTCATGCAGTAGACGGCACGGTCTAAGAAGCATTGCGGCATCACTATATTTGCAGGTAACACCGTCTATGATTTGTTTGCATATTGCCTTTTGGATCGGATGCAACACTTCCGTATTTTGGCTATCCAGCATCGGTTTCCACGATTGCGTGAGTGAGCAATAGAACGTGAAAATGTCACATAACGTCTGAGGTGGTGGAACGGTAATGCACGTAAGCATGGAGTAAAGGCTGGTGAACACTCCATGTCTTCCGCACATATCATTAAGCACCAGGCATATGTCCTTACCCGTTTTGGTACTCCCCGAAAAGATCCTGAAACCAAGGGGTATCAGACACGGCATATTACGTGAACCAGATGAACAGGTGACACATTTGTAGCTACAGCCGACTGTAGTTAACTGATGTGGCAAGTGGCCCGGCAGGCAGTCGTTTAAGTAAGACATTAATGGAGAGGTTGGCTGGCACGTAGGTTCACAGGTTGGTTGGCACGCTGATCGGCACGCAGGTTTACTATTTGGTTGCTCATTTGCTTTGCCCCTTGGGTGGTCCTTACATTGCCAATTTGATGGCTCGACGCCGTTGCCGTATTGGCAGTCACGCCAGCCGAAATCTCTGGCACTGTATTTGCATTGTATTTGTAGGAATTTAAGTGGGGAGTAGAGTCGGCGAAGCAAGTCAACGAGCGTATCAAAGCACGCGGCAGGATTGGATGGATACTGTAATTGAAGTGCGTTACTAGCGAAGTCACAGCCATAAGTGGTTAGGGCATCACCATGACCGGCAATGGTGCAGATGAGAGTCTGACAGCGGGATGCCACGCGTTTAATTGCACGATGTACTTTGTCATCGGAAAAGGATGAGGGATGCGCCTCAATGGGTTGAAGGATTTTCTTAGATGGATCACTTTTATCTGGTACTTTAAACAGATTTGTAATGTGATCTTTAAGTTGGTTGTAGATGTGATTATGTGGGAGGCCGGACAGCCAAGACAACATATCTTTTACAGAGCATGGATGCCTATTTGCGGATAATGTTGACATGTGAGAGACCTGATTGTATTGATTTAGATGAGTAACAAGACATTCAAGTATGGCTAAAACATTAAATTTGTTTTGCGCTTTTGGTTGACAAGATGGCAGATGAAGATCTTGGTCGGCGTCGTCGATTGTGCTTTCGAGGTTCTTGTAAATTTTGCCGCCCGTCATACTAATGCCGTCATGCAATTCACCATTTTGTTTGTCTTTGTTGGAAACATCATAGCCTTGCTCGGATAGGAATATTCCCAGTTCTGTGGATTTGTTTATTTTGTTGAATTTACATCTTACAACGCAAAATTTATGTAACTTATTTACATTAGTGTTTACAGTGTACAGCGAGGTGAGCAACACCTTAGCGCACTTTTCTCTATCAGGCTCGCCAATGTCTGCCCACTTCAGTCCGCTGTACCTGTTCACGTACTGTTTGCCCAGTTCGCCTGCCAGTCGCTTCGCTCCAGCGGTCAGCGCGTCGAGCAGCTCAGGGTGTTTGTGGCCGTTGAACTGCTTGGGAGTTAGTGCTGTGATTGCGTCGTTAAGTGCGGCTAGGTCAGTAGTAAACGTGTAGTCGAAGTGATATTGTTTATTTGGATTCTCTAATTTTAGGTGGCTGAGTAACTTGTCCAGTTGCTGTTTGAGGCGGTCGACTTGGCGGGAGCGGGACTGGGAGGAGGTGTAGAGAAGGATTTCATGTAAATATTCTTTCACATTTTTAGTTGCATTATTAAATTTGTCATCGATGAGAATATCAAAAATCTTATCATTCTGAGTTTCCATGAGGTTCATTAATCCCTTCACGCCGGACATGCTGTCCAGGGTGATAGTGTTTTCGATCTCGGATTTTTGCTTCTCAACCAAACATTTAAAAGCCTCTAAGTCTGCCAGTTTTTGTTTACAGAATATTTTTCGCACCTCTTTGTAAAGTTTTTTGAAGGCATCTGAGATTGCTTTTTCCAGCGCATTTATTGTAGTTTGTAAGAATGCATCGGCGTGATCGAGGTCTTGTCGTATGGTTTCGAGTTGTCCGTTAAGTTCATTTTGTAGTTTTAACACAAGAGCACCAGCGTCTTCTCTCTTTGTCTTAATTTTACCATCATCAATATCTTTAGACATGTTGTTAAGCTTATCAAGTATTTCTTTAAGTTTTTCAACTTCCTCGGGAAGCTTAGATTTAGAGTTCTCCAAAAGAGTACCAAGCGCCTTAATTTGTGGGATAACTTTCTGCAAAAATCTATCAATCGTACCGCCAGTGCCATTATTTCCAAATTGCTCGCCAATATTCTTAATCGTCTCTATAGCCTTCTCCACGTTTTCCATTTTAGCCGTATTCGCGAAGTTGCCAAGTTGTGCGGAAGTGCGCATTGCGATATTTGAGAGTGCGGATAAGATAGAGAGGATGGCAGATCGGAGATCGTCTGTGGCGTTCGAAGGGAGGCCGGACTCGGACTTTGATAAATCCGAATTATTACTAATTGATTCGGAAATCTTTCCGAACAGCGAAGAAAAGCTTCCCTCCTGTAACTTTCCCCCAATCTCTGTAGCGAATTGCTTGCAACATTTCTTAACAGCGCTAACATATACATCGATCTTTTTGTTGGCATTTACAGTATCTTCGGTTTCCTTGATACTTTTTGCAACCAAGGCACCGGCTTTGGCGATTTCTTGTTCAAGCGCTTTCTTTATTGCGCTCGTAATTGCATCACGCAATTTTGTGTCACTCCCATTCTTAATAGTTCTCTCCGTAATTCCGCTCAGCTTTGTACCAGTGAACTTATCTTTGTAATACTTAACCCACCAGGCAAGTGCTCCCTTCACCGCCTCACTTTCCAAAATGCTTTTAATCCAAGTACCTACTATCGTATCAAAATTCTGCCTTCCTGAATTATCGTCCCTAAATTTCTCAGCATACTCCTGTATACCGGTAACAATAGCAACAAGTGAACCATACGAGCCCGCATTTTTCGCGACGTTACTGACCGTATCCTCAATTTGTTGCTTAAGATCTCCCCAATTGTGATATATACTGGCAGACCTATTGCCTTCCTTTCCAACTCCGGTGGATATTTCACTAAAGTGCGTCTCCGCTTCCTTAAGCAACAACTCAAGCGCAATTTTCTTCTGCTCCAGAGTCCCATAAACTTTACTAACTTCAGTTTGTATCTCATTAAACTTCTGAAGAACTTTATTTCTGAAACTGTCAATATCATTACCCAATTGATTAGCAACCAATTTTTGAGCATCCGTCAAAGACTGTCTGATAGCCTTAATGCGTCCCATTTGCTCATCTTTCAGAGCCTCCATTGCATTATGTATATTAGTATACTCCTCTGCCAGCGTTCTGTCGACAACACTGACCTGATCCCGTAGGGTCTCATTCCCTGCTGAGTCAAGTAGCATTGTTACTGCCGTTGTGATCGGCTTCATCTCATGCAATACACGTGTTTTTAATGTGCTATCTAATTCATTAAGTGGCGTGTTCTTAATGTTACTAAGTTCTCTAGTAATGCTAGTTAGTGTGCTCTTCCAAGTCTTCCACTGCTCGATCAGCGTCTTCCCTTCTTGCTCGTTGACTTGATTGTAGTAATTCACACCTGCAACAGAATTAGACCCATTATTTAACTTACCTATAAGTGAAGATAATCCTTCAGTCACTTTATTAGTCTTCCCCTCCACCTGCGCACCATGTCTGTTCAACCACTCACTTACCTGAGACACGGCGTTCCCGAAGGCCTGACGGCCTTTACCTACACTATTATGTAAAGTGTCAATAACATTTTTTAGTGTATCAGTATCATACGTTGTAACGTTATCATCATCCTGCACTCCACTAAGAACTCCATGAAGGAAAGACATCACCCCGTCGCAGAGCCTGTCAAGGTCCGAGTACACGATGCCTTCACCGGTGTAATTCCCTTTCTCGTAGCCGAGAAATTTTTCGAGGCCTTCAGTAAGATTTTTAAGAATTTCTGCACAATTTCCATCATGATTTTTATTAATTTTACTAACTTCATCACAATGTTGACAAAGCTTATCTAGACTTTTGAGAGAACTCATAGACTTCTGATGAGAGTCAAGGGATTTAGACTCTTTTTCAGGGAATAAATCTTGTGCAATTTTAAGAGCCTTTTTACGTGCTTCAAGTTCATTTTTAAGGTTTTTAAGTTGATCATCATTATTTTTCTTAGCATCAATTTTCTTTTTAAGCTCATTCACTTGAGACTGAAGCTTATCAACTTCATTTTTCTTAGAGTCAAGTGCAGTAATTTTCCTTTGAACAGCTTCAATTACAGTTGTAATTTGCGTTGTAAGCAGAGAACTTTGTGAGAAAATTTCTTCTATAAGGTTCTTAATTTCCCTTGTAAGGCTGTCAATCTCAGCATCACTGACGGGCGGCGCCCCTTGAGGCGCCTTACTTTTTTCATCTTTCTGCTTTTTAAGGCTGTCAATTTTTGTTGCAATTTTATCATATTTCGTAAATTTCTCTTGAAGATTTTTAAGATGATCATCACTGAAATTATTAATATTACAATTACACTTCCCATCTCCGCAAGATGCTTGTAAAAGCCTAATAAGCTGATTTACATTACTGTGCAAACCCTTCAAAATTGCATCTTTAACTTCATCTCCATCGCCAATAAAACCCGACAGCTGTCCACTCAGCTCAGCAAGAGAGATGCGGCGGGACTCAATATCACCCAAGGCTCTTTTTCTAGCATCATCTGTAAGATAATGAACTTCATTATAATGGTCATTGTAGTTGGATAAAAGGAGGATTAAGGGAGGGTTAAAAGAAGTAAAGAAGGAAGAAATGGCACATTTTCAGGGCGATTTGAGGGAATTTGGAGAAAGGCGATTTTAGGTCAAGGAGGCAGTGAGGGAGGTGGGTGGACAAGGCGAGGGAGGTGAAGGGGCGAAAGAGGGCGAAGAAGGAGGAAGATGGGATGAGGTAAGGCGGTTTTGGGGGTGGAGGGAGAAAGTGGAAAATGAGGATTTGGGTGAAAAACGCCGACGGAGGAGGTGATGGAGGGGGTGAGGGGCAGGGAGCGAAGCGACCAGTGAAAGGGGAGGTGAGTGGGTGGTTGAGAGTGTGAGTATGTGAGTGGGTGGTTGAGTGGGTGAGTGGGTGGGTGAGTGAGTGGTTGAGTGGGTGGTTGAGTGGGTGAGTGAGTGAGTGATTAGGTGGTTGAGTGAGTGGGTGAGAGGGTGGTTGAGTGAGTGGTTGAGTGGTTGAGTTGGTGAGTATGTGAGTGGGTGATTAGGTGAGTGGGTGGGTGATTAGGTGGTTGAGTGAGTGAGTGGTTGAGTGGTTGAGTGAGTGAGTGGGTGAGTGGGTGAGTGAGTGGGTGGTTGAGTGGGTGGTTGAGTGGTTGAGTGGTTGGGTGGGTGAGTAGATGAGTGGGTGGGTGGTTGAGTGGTTGAGTGAGTGAGTGAGTGGTTGAGTGAGTGAGTGGGTGAGTGGGTGGGTGATACACAGATCACACGTGAAGGCACGATTATGGTGAGAAGTACTTGACGTTGGCGAGTGCCTTGACGCGTGCGGCGGCGAGGAGGGACTGCGCGGCGATGCGGTGGCTTGAGGGCGATCGCAGGTGGGAGCGTATCCTCAGGACGTCGAGGCGGACGACGGCGATGTGCAGCAGGTAGAGCAAAGAGAGTGACCAGAGGGCTAATAAGAGGTATGTGAAGAAGTTGAGAAATGTTGAAAGATTATTTTAGGCACATTTTTAGGGCGATTTGGGGGAATTTGGAAAAAGGCGATTTTAGGTCAAGGAGGCAGCGAGGGAGGTGGGTGGACAGGGTGAGGGAAGTGAAGGGGCGAAAGAGGGCGATGAGGGAGGAAGATGGGATGAGGTAAGGCGGTTTTGGGGGTGGAGGGAGAAAGTGGAAAATGAGGATTTGGGTGAAAAACGCCGACGGAGGAGGTGATGGAGGGGGTGAGGGAGGAGGGAGCGAAGCGACCAGTGAAGGAGGAGGTGAGTGGTTAGGTGAGTGGTTGAGTGAGTGGGTGAGTGGGTGGTGAGTGAGTGAGTGGTTGAGTGAGTGGTTGAGTGAGTGAGTGGGTGAGTGAGTGAGTGAGTGGGTGATTAGGTGAGTGGTTGAGTGGTTGAGTGAGTGGTTGAGTGGGTGGGTGGTGAGTGAGTGAGTGGTTGAGTGATTAGGTGGGTGGTTGAGTGGTTGAGTGGTTGAGTGAGAGGGTGGTTGAGTGGGTGTGTGTGTGTGTGTGTGAGTGGTTGAGTGAGTGGTTGAGTGGGTGGGTGAGTGAGTGGTTGAGTGGGTGAGTGGGTGAGTGGGTGAGTGAGTGGGTGGGTGAGTGGGTGGGTGGGTGAGTGGGTGAGTGAGTGAGTAGGTGGTTGAGTGATTAGGTGAGTGAGTGGGTGGGTGAGTGGGTGGGTGAGTGGGTGATTAGGTGAGTGGGTGGGTGGGTGGTTGAGTGGGTGAGTGGGTGGGTGAGTGAGTGAGTGGGTGAGTGGGTGAGTGGTTGAGTGTTTAGGTGGTTGAGTGAGTGGGTGAGTGGGTGAGTGAGTGGGTGGGTGAGTGGTTGAGTGAGTGAGTTGAGTGAGTGGGTGAGTGGTTGAGTGGGTGAGTGAGTGATTATGTGAGTGGGTGAGTGAGTGAGTGAGTGGGTGAGTAGTTGAGTGGTTGGGTGAGTGGGTGAGTGGGTGGGTGAGTGAGTGAGTGAGTGATACACAGATCACACGTGAAGGCACGATTATGGTGAGAAGTACTTGACGTTGGCGAGTGCCTTGACGCGTGCGGCGGCGAGGAGGGACTGCGCGGCGATGCGGTGGCTTGCGGGTGATTTTAGGTGCGAGCGTATCCTCAGGACGTCGAGGCGGACGACGGCGATGTGCAGCAGGTACAGGAGCGACAGCGACCAGAGGGCTAATAACGTTAGCATAAATGGCCATCTGATCTGTTTCAAGAATTCATCACACTCCTTGAACAAATCCTTGAAGTACTGTGACTGCAGCACTTTCTTCAATTGACTGCAGAAATCCTTACACTTTTTCGCTGTGCTACCACCATTCAACGTCGACGCCTCGCCGAAGCTGAATCCGTACTGGTAGAGCGTCGGTGCCACGCCTCTGCATTTCACTATGGAATCACACTGACAGGTAACATCTTTCTTCTCATCCTCAATGACGCCATGCTTGCCACTCCTGCACTTCTCCCCTCTGAGACATCCTCTGCATCCCCAATCTGCACAAGTGATTTCACAGAAAGCGTTATATAAATTGTTTAGTAGATCCCAGAACGTCCATGGGAGGTATATGGCCCAGGAGAGGTATGTGTTAGAGTGCTTGTGAGGTAAAATAATACGCATCGTGAGACAAGGAATTAAGGTAAGGCGCACAATGGGTTTCACTAGAGCAGCGGTTCTTATACTTAGGTAGGCACAGGCTGAACATGTCAACGTGGTTGGCATCTGGGTGGGCTGAATCGTATCCGGGGTCCTTATCTTTGGATCCGTAAATGGCTCTAAATGCATCACAAAGTTCATTGGCATCGGTGACTTGATGTATAGACAGCTTGTCCATCGAGCCTTCAAATGCAAATTGCAGAGCATGTTTGTTTCCTGAGAAAACCTTCTGCCAATTACCGAAATGTTGCATTTACGAAACTGAAGTGTTCAGGCAGTGTCTTCGGCGGCCTAGGCGCCAAGCCGAATAGGGTTGAGATTAGACCGGTACCGAGGAAAAACTTAATAGTTTCGTACAGCTCTTTACCCGTACGTATACTTCCTGAGACCCTTAAAACCAAGCGGCGTGAGACACGGCATACCTGGCTTACCACCGGGGCAAGTGGAACATTTGGATGTACATCCGACACTAATTAAGTGATGTGGTAAGTGACCCGTTAGGCAGTCATTTAAGTAGGACATTAATGGTGACGTTGGCTGGCAGCTAGGTTGACACTTTGGCTGACACGTTGGTTGACAATTTGGTTGGCACGTAGGTTGCATTCTAGGTTGGCACGTTGATTGGTCAGTTGATTGTTCGTTACAGTGCGATTTGGTGGTGGGAATGTCCCTGCCGTACCGACACTCCCGCCAGCCGTAGTGCTCAGGTGGAACATTACATCGGTTGAACAAATACGTGAGCGGTGGTAAAAGTCGGCGGAGAAGATCTACAATCATATCACGGCACTGTGATGCATTGGAAGGATAATGTAAATTAAAAGAATTGTTGCAGTGGTCACTACCATAGATGGTGTATGCATCGCCGTGACCAGCAATGCCAACGAGAACATTATATGATTGAGAACATATGTGATCGAGCGCTGTGTTTTATTTTTTATATGTGAACTTATTTTGGGTATGCATCTAGGTAGTAGGAATTCAGATCATCTAATTCTACTTCAAATTCGTCGCCGCCCTGTATGGTTTTGGGCTTAGGCTTCTGCAGGAGGCTAGTGAAACCGTCACGTAATAGAGTGGAATACACAGCGTTATACGGCAGACCTGAGAACCAAGAAAGCATTTCATTAACACTGCACGGTTGTTTCTTGGAAGAAAGAGTTGCGTAGTGGCAAACTTCATTGTA